GAAAAGATGAAAGCAGTTGTGTATACCCATCTTTAAAAATCTAGATTAAAGGCATTACTTATAAATATCATGAATTATTAATTCACAAGAAAAAAAAATGTGTGTGTGTGTGTATATACAGTGTATATATATATATATATAATATTTTTTTCAGCAAAGGCCACACTAAATTGATCAAAAGTGACAGTGACAACATTTGTAATTTTACAAAAGATTTCTATTTCAAATAAATTCTGTTTTTTAATTTTCTATTCATCAAAAATCCTGAAAAAAATTCACCGTTTCAACAAAAGTTGCACAACTATTTTCAACATTGATAATAATCAGAAATGTTTCTGGAGCATTAAAATCATATTAGAATGATTTCTGGAGGATCATGTGACATAATGATGCTGAAAATTCAGATTTGCATCACAGGAATAAATTACATTTGAAGGTATTTTCAAATAGAAACATGTCTTTTAAATTGTAATAATATTTCACAACATTGCTGTATTTTAAAATAAATTTACTGTCTTTTTGATCAAATAAAAGCAGCCTTAGTGAGCATAAGAGATTTCTTTTAAAAACATTTCAAAAATCCTACCAACCCCAAACCTGTAGTGTATAGATTGAATTGATTCAATAGTTCATTCTACTCCACACAATCTCCGCACATTCCCACAGAATTGAACCTGAAGTGCTTCTCGCCGCTGGGTACTATTGCTCGCATCTCATTTATGTGTTTCCTCTGAGAGCTGAGGGAGATTGTGAAGGCCACAAATGGAGGAGATCAGTTGTTCTTTGATATAAACAGAATCCCTCTCCTTCTCTCTCCCTTTCTCTCTCTTTCTTAAAAGCATGTATATACAGTAGAATATAATGTCCAGACACCTCTGTTGCTATTGATTTTGTCTATTATTGACGGACTTAAACATACAAAAAAATCTGTACAAGTACATGAGTTCTTCATGTTCAATTTCAGCTTTATTCATAACAAACCGCTCCACTATTGACCAATCTCCATCCTTTATTTCCCACTGACGTTCTGCTTGCTGTCTATGGCTTGCATTCATCACTGATTTCCTCCATTTCTCTCTGCGTAGATCTCTCTGGAGGAGATCGAACGAATCATGTCTGGCCAGGAGTTTAAAGAAGGAGCTGAACTATCAGATTCGTGGAGCCATGGCTACAGGAACCACACTTCACCTGGCAACAGTATCTCCGAGGGCGGTCAGACCTTATCTTTTTCCACGCTGTCGACCAGGTGTGACCCGAATGAGATGTTCAGAGCGTTTACACACAGACGCGCTGACCTGCGCCTGTCCTTTTCATGTGCAGGGACAAATGGCTTTGATTAAATTGAATTAGAAGATGTTTGTGTTGTGGAACGAACCATGTACTACAAACATGAGCAAAAAGTGGAAACAAGATAAAGGAACACTCAAAATTGATGCTATTGATATTTTTTAATTAACTGATTTCATAATCTTTCATAAAGTCATATTTGTGTTGCGGAATGACCACATGCTATAACAAACAGCAAAGAGTTTAAACAAAATAAAGACATGCTCAGATTTGATGCTATTAATATTTTTTATTAATTGATTTGTTGTGCATGTCATTGTAAAGACACGTTTTTTTCATAATCTTTTATTGAAAAAAATCATATTTGTGTTGTGGAATGACCACATGCATGCTATAACAAAGATTAGCAAAGAGTTGAAACAAAATAAAGACATGCTCAGATTTGATGTTATTAATATTTTTTATTACCGTAATTGATTTGTTGTGCATGTCATTGTAAAGACAAATTTTTTTCATACTCTTTTATTAAAAAAAAAGTCATATTTGTGTTGTGGAATAAACCACATGCTATAACAAACATGAACAAAGAGTTGAAACAAGATAAAGAAATGCTATTTTTTTATTAATTGATTTATTGTGCATGTCATTGTAAAGACACAAATGTTTGTTTTTTTCATAATCTTTCAAAAAAGGTAATATTTGTGTTGTGGAACGAACCTCATGCTATAACAAACGTGAGCAAAGAGTTGAAATGAGATAAAGAAACGCTCAAAATTAATGCTATTTTTACTTCTTCTTTTTTAATATTTTATGTTATTCCAAAGACAAAATAATTTTTTTTTTCATAATCTTTCATAAAAATGTAATATGTGTTAGTAACAAATCACATACTACAACCACATAAGCAGAGTCGAAACAACAAAGAAACACTTCAAATTTAATCTATTTTAATTCACTTTCACAAAGAAAAAAAGTGTTTGTTTTCAAAATAAATGTTATTATTATTGTTAACTAAAAAAATGTTACTTTAAATAAAGGTTAACTGAAATAAAATTGCCAAGGCAACATTTCCCATTTTTGTTTTGTTTTGTTGAAGTTGAAGTTCTAAAATAACTATTATAAAACGGATAGTTCCGGTCTTTGATTCTGATTGGTTGAGCCACGATCGAAGCTGTTGTAAATTACTCTACAAACATACACCTTTGTTTACGTTCTGTGTTGCTTGGCAACCACTTTATTGCATCCACAACTGTTTCTGAGGAACTACATTGTTTGGTGGAAGAATACTGTTTTTATTAATATCGTTACACTTTATTTGCTCTGTTTTATTTAGTGAAACCTTACTACATATATGGGATAACCATTTTATAAAAGCAATAAGCCCCGTGAAGCCGTGGTTTACAGTGATTTTATAACTCCGCTTCGCGTCGTGCCTAACAACGCCCCTTAGCTGTTATAAATTCACTGTAAACCATGGCTTCTTGGGGCTTATTGCTTTAATAAATAACTAATAACTAAATAAACAAAAACTAATAAATTAATTAAAAACCTAATACATATTATATAGACATTTAAAAAAAAAAACTAAAATAACAATAGTAAAAAGACACAATAAAGTTACTAAACTTAAAGAAAATGTCAAATTAAAGATAAAATAAAATCTAATTCAAAATATTAATAAGAACTACTACTAAAATGATACTGTTGTAAATGCTATTTCATGTTGATTTTTGGCTTTTATATCAAATTCCATTTATATACTAAGATTGCATATATGGCATGTATGATGTATAATTTCCTTTCTTGTTCTCTCTCTGCAGCTGTTCTGTGGATGTGAGCACATACCCTGTGTCTTGTAGAGATCAGTGCAGCAGTCCTCAGCTAACACACTCTTTCCTGTTGTGTAAATATCCTGTACCACCCTCTACTGGCCGCAGGCTGAAGACGCAGTCACACACACTGACAGCCCAGCTGCTGGCTGCTGAAGACCTCACACCTCTCGCTACACCCATGCTCATAGAAGAGGGGTAAGACACACACAGAATTAAATATCAAACATGACTTTTGTGTTGCATTTGACTTTTTCAAAGGGGACATATTATCTAAACCACAAGGCTCAATTCTTGCACCGCTCTTGTTTAGCCTGTATATGCTCCCACTAAGTCAAATAATGAGAAAGGCAATTTCTTGGTTCAATTTCAATTTCAATTTTTTGGTTCCCTCTGCCAATGCATTAATCAAATGAACAGTTGGATGTGCCAGAACTTTCTTCAGTTAAACAAGGAGAAAACTGAAGTCATTGCATTTGGAAACAAAGATAAGTTCTCAAGGTGAATGCATACCTTAACTCTAAGGGTCTAACATCTAAAAATCAAGTCAGGAATCTTGGTGTGATTCTGGAGACAGACCAGTAACTAAATCAGCATACTATCATCTAAAAAACATTGCAAGAATTAGATGTTTTGTTTCCAGTCAAGACTTGGAGAAACTTGTTCATGCCTTTATCACCAGCAGGGTGGACTATTGTAATGGTCTCCTCACCGGCCTTCCCAAGAAGACTATTAGACAGCTGCAGCTCATCCAGAACG